GATCATTTATTAAACAAAAGTCACTCTCTGCCGCATTGAAGAGCCTCAGTGCTGCTCTCAGGAAGATTAATTTTCTGGGTAGAGGAGGGGAGCGTTCGCTTCACCCCTCAAAAGGAGCCGACGAGATGATTCAATTGCTTCCCTTTCCAAGCGTGAGCCCGAGACACTCACTCAGAGCACGGTTATAAGAAATTACTCCTTTACTTTAGGAGGGGAGAAACTGAAGAAACTGTTAAACTTGGTCACAGTATGTGACATCCTTGAAATCAAAAGTAATACTTCTTCTCAGCAACTGCACAGTAAAATTAAAGATATGAAGCCAAATTCATCTCTGGTGTAATTCTCCTGCCAGTGGCCAGAGAGACACCTGGGATTAATTTCCTCTATTATACAAGTGGCACAAGACCCTGACAAATTATTTGGAGTGTTTTTTGTAACACTTAGTTAACAGAAACCTTATTCACTGTGTCCTACCCATGGAAATGGAGTGGCTCTGATATATTTTACAGTATTAGGACTTTTTTGGTTTTAGCATATTCATATTAATGGAGGTTTCTTTTTTGGGGGGGGAAATTATTTGCTTATAAGCATCAGCCAGGTTGGTATTTGACCAAATGGGAGCAGATATTTGACCAAAGGTGAGAGATTTTCATGAGGGCAGAAGAAAAATGTAAGTCGATGTTGTGAGCATCCTCAACGCTTCTCCAACATGTTTGAGCTTGTTTTGTTTTGTTATATTTGGTTTTCTGGTGTGTTTTATCCTATCAATGACATTAATTATGGAGTAATTGCCTTAGTGGCATGTAACAACTCTCCTCTTTTTTTAAAATAGATTTTCACACAATGTGTAAACTTTGCTGTATATGTGCTACGTTTCTTGTGTCGTGAAATAACGTGTAGACAAAATAATGTTTTTCCTGTCAGAAATTCAATGGGCATCTAAAGCAAAGTGACAGGTGGTTAAATAGCTGCATTTAAAGGATGTCAAGAAGATTTTTTGGACAGGTACCAAAACCCAATGCCAAAAAGAAGGCCTAATACCATCTGTTTTGTTAGCAGAGAGATGCAATTATACATTAGATTTTAAATTATGGGAAATGCCAAATTCATAACCTTGATTTTTGGGTCAAATCTAGCTTATCTAGATTGTGAGTGTTTTTATTTACTAGCACAGTTCCCGACCTTGAGCCCACACAGGTAAACGAAGATGTTTTCAATCAGCCCCATTTTAAAGTCATAGGGAGCTCTTGAGCTGCATTTAATTTTGTTTTGTATTACATGTAAATCCAGATGCAACGTGGATTTAATTAATCCAATTTCACCGCATTTAAATGTACACATTTGCATTGTGTTTATTGGCAATTGGGTTTATCCATTTGTTCAGCATTTTTTATGACCAGTGAAACCACTGAATATTTAGAGATCTCTCTCTTTCCAAGCGGGAACGAGGAGTGTAGCTCTGAATTAAATTGCTCTCAGACATAAACTGGGGATAAGACTAAAATGTCAAAATATAGCTGCATGATACAGTGGGGAAATGATTTCACTATTTTAAAGTAATAAAGTGCACTGTGCTAAATTATTTTAGAAATCATTTCGGCAGGCTTTTTAGACGGTTTGTTGAGGGAAGGAGGACCACTTTGAAACAAATAATGAAACTGATATATTCAGAGACTTTTTCCTGCTTCTAAAAGGTGCCTTGGAAATTATGATTGTTCAGGTTTAGTCTAATATTTAGAAATAGTCACTGCAGAGTTTTCTCTTCTTTGTGAGGAGTCCATGTGGCTTAAATGGGATTGCTGAGATAATCACACTCCGCTGTTTCTGTTCCAGGGCTAATGTTAGGCATGAAATGTGAGTTGTCATGTTGGGAGCTCCTCTTTCAACGACCTGACCAAAGCAACCACAAATGCTCTGGGGTTTGTGAGGAGTCAGTTGGGAAAAGAACAAAAGGACTGGGATCTTTCCCTGTCTGTGTTTAGCTGCTTGCTTTGGCTCTGCTGGGAATGCTGTGGTTCAGCTGGTGTCACTGGCTCCCCTCAGCCAGCACAGACCATTCCTTTCACCTTTGGATGCTTGGCCAAACCTCAAGGCCTTGATCCTTTGTCCTATCGCGACATGCCCTGATGAAATGCCCCCATCTTTCTTATAAGACCCCTTTAGGCACTGGGAGGGGCTCTAAGGTCTCCCTGGAGCCTTCTCTTCTCCAGGCTGGACAATCCCAGCTCTCCCAGCCTGTCTCCAAAGGACAGGTGCTCCAGCCCTGGCAGCATCTCCACGGTCTCCTATGTAGAGAGGGACACCAAAGTGTTAGAGGAGAGCAGGGATTCAGCCAAACCTGCATCTCCTGGTAGACCTCCACCTGCTCCACAGCACAAGCACCAAAGTGCCACGGGGACAAAACACATTGAGACACGGGTAAGAACAGGCTGAAGGAGGATTTAGCAGCAGGTACAAATTGGAGGCTTCCTGAACACATGGTGAGGCTGGAGAGGTTCCCCCTGGAGCAGCAGGAGCTGCTGATCCACGGGCAGAGAACCGTGGAGGCTGGAGACACCTCGATCCCCAGGCAAGGATGATGCTCAGGATGATGCTCAGCTCCCCTGGGTTATCTTCTGACAGTCTGACGAGGAGAAGCAGCACTGAAGACATGAGGTGAGCTGTGAGAACACTGATCTGACAAAGAGCATTTCCTCTGCCACCTTCTCTTAGCATATATATTTATATATATATATATATATATATACAAAAGCATTCTGGCTATTAATAGCAATAACACTTTGTGACGATGGGTGTTGCAGATCAGTCTCTGTTTGAGGTCTAACGCAGGCACATGAACGTGCAAAGTTTGACAGGGCTGATTGTTGTAAATCTGAGGAGGCATTAAGAAAACAGGGGGAAATGAGCTTTTAAATGGTCTGAAAGGGATCTTTGGGGTGTCTCAGGCACTGAAAAGAAATTGGGTTGTATCTGCTGGAGAGATGCTGCATGTTTGGTGATGAAATGTGTTAATTTTTGTAGGAAACAACAGAATTAAATCCTGCTTTTAGTGGAAAAGCCAATTCAGCCTTAACGGCAAAGCTGCTAGCAATGACTCCACAATATATGAAATATAATAATTATGATAATTAATAAAGATAATAATACAGTAAAACCTTGCTAATGACTCAGAGGCTGCTTACTAATTACTGAATTTTGTGGATAAACAAGTCAGAATAATGCATAATAAAATACACTTTGTTCCATTATTTTGACAACTCTCATTTAGTTTTAATTATTTATACTTCGTAATATACCAGTCACTCTACTTGGGAGGGTTTTACAAAAATAATGAAGCTCTAATAATGTGACATGTCAGTTCAGTATTTGCTGAAACAGGGAGAGAGGGAAAACCAGTCCTTTCTGGGTGTGTGTAAATCAGGAAGGGCACAGATCAGCTGAGCACAGATACTCAAAGTTTTAATGCAAAATATTATACATCTCTGTAATGCCTTTGACCTGGAGCCCTGGAGCAGCTTGCCTGGTGGAGAACTCCCCCAAGCCGACCTGCTTTGCTGCTAAATGCAGAGGGATCGATGCTGATTCTCCAGAAAAATCATACCGTTTGAAAAATAGTAATAAATGTGAAGCAGTTTTTGTGCCCGAGTCAATTTTTATCCTTAAATCAATTTTTTTTCCCACCATCACGAGGGCTGAAAGCTTGTTTTTAATTTAAATGAGAGCTACGATTTTTACATAATCACTTGATTCCTGGAGCTGGCATTCCCTCGAAACCCCAGCCCGCCTCCCCCCTCCTTGAATTTGGCAGGAGTTGGCCACGCTTTTGCAATGAAAGACGCTCGTGGAAGAACTCAGCATTTATTTAGATCCAGCTACACAGAGTCTTGTAGGGTGCACATGGCAAATGTGCCTTCGGAGTCATGAGGTTTTTAAAAAAATAAATAAATAAGTAAACCCATTTCTAGCGGAGGTTTGCCAGAAAACTGACTCCATCAGTCCTGTGAGCTCTCTGAGAGCTTATGGATCGGTCGCCGTAACTTTCAAGCGTTTCCCCTCTATCTGGGAATGGGATAACGCACTGCAAAACCAGCCTGGATATAATATTCTCCCCCACCGGGCTGGTTTTCTAAAGGGATCTGTTGTGAGATGTTGGAAGGGAGCGAGAGAGCGAGGAAGGGGGACCCCTGCGCGTCCAGCCTGTTCCCCTCTGCTATTCCACCCCCCCCCTCCCCACGGCCACATTTGGGGGTTCCATTCTACTGTGCCCTGGAAGTCCCGGCCCGTGGGAGTTGGAGGGGGATGGCAGAGAGGGTGGCCATGGATGGGTGCTGCCTTCCAGCAGCAGGGCCCATATAAAGACGGGAGCGTGGAAATCCGGGTGGTGGGGAGAACGTGGGTCTCCAAGCCTTGGGGAGCCGATGCCAGGTGCAAAAGCTGAGGCTGGCTGTTCCCTGCCGGGGTGGGAGAGCGCGTGGGGAAGGCGCTTCCAGAAACGGTGCGTTTAGGGGCTCTTAAGTGGAGGACCTATTTGAGGGGTCCCTAATGGCGTCCTATTTAGGGTGCTGGAGAGCATCCTTCACCGGCGGGTGGGCGCCAGGTGCGGAGGGGAGCGCAGGCTGCTGAGGCACCGTCCTGCGTCGGGAGAGGGCACACCGGGCACGGCGCTCCGGTGCGGGCCGGGCCGGGCCGGGGAGAGGGGGGAAACGCACAAAATGTGACAAGAGGAGCGGGAAGCGGCGTGGCTGTCTCAACCTCTCCCCTCTCGCCGGGCCGGCTGGGACGGGCGAGAGGAGCCGCAGCGGGCCGGCTCCGAGGGGGCTCCATCCCCTCTGCCCCAGCCCGGGAGGAGCCGCCCGGCCCCGGCGCGAACAATAGCGGCCCCGGCGCGGGGCGGCGCGGAGCGGGGCGGGCCGGGGGCCGCCGCCCGCCCCCCCTGCGCCGCCGCCCGCCCTCTCCCCGCCCTCTCCCCGCGCCAGAGGCACCGCCGCCGCCGCAGCCGGGTCCATGCCCGCTGGAGCCCCCGCCTGCCGCCGCCCGCAGCCCCGGCATGGACGTTCGGTTCTACCCCTCCGCCCCCCCCGCCGTGGGCTCCCTGCCCGGCGCAGACCCCACTTGCCTCGGCCCGCTGGATTATTATCACTGCAACAAGGTACCGGCGCGGGGGGTCCCCCCCGGGGCGGCCGCGCTCGCCGCGTCCCGTCCCGCCGCTGCTCCGCGGGGAGAAGGGGCAGGAAAGTGCCGGCGGCGCCGGGCTCTGGCGGGAGGGAATTTTGAAAGTGGTCTGGGAGAGGAGAAGGGTGGGGGGGGGGGAAGCCCGAGCCCCGGGCGCTGCTCGGCGGGGCGGGCCGGGAGCGGAGCGCGGGGGGAGCGGGTGTCGGTGTGTCCGTGCCGGGCTTGTTTAACCTTCTCCGCTCCGGGGGCGCTCGGCCCGGAGCGATGCGCGGGGCTGGGGGGGGGGGGGGGG